ATGCTCGAGGTTTCTCACTTTTGAATTATTTTGTTTTTCTTTTTTCTTTTTGAGATTTGTATTTAAATCTTTCTTAGATAAGTTTGGGAAATTACGATCATGCGGTCTATCACTCAATTGACATTCATGTTTCTCAGGCACGATGCCGAGCACTCGATAAGAGATGCAATCCGAGACGTGTTCATATCAAAGACATTGGAACACTTGCTCTTTTGCACACTTTTACTGTTTTTGCTTTTTAATACTTTAGAAATATCTCAGGCTTTTTGTATTTGTTTTGAAATTTCCATAAGCTGCACACCATCCCACCCAAGGTTAGGTAATTGTGGGTTGAAAAAAGAAAGGTCAATCGTTTGACGAGGCTCAAAGTGGTTTATCAAGAAAGGATTGTGTATTCGAAAGGGATAAAGGTGATGTGGCTACAAGAGGTGCCTCAAATTATTGATATACCTTGTGCTTAGTTGGGCTTGTATTATTTTATTTTATTTTTTATATTTATTTTTATTTTTTTAATGCAATGCGATGATCATATGCAAGGAAATAAATGCTCATTTTATTAAAATGGAAAGGGTGAAAAAAACAGACTCTAAGAAATAAATCTAAGGAAAATGAAGGGTTTCTATGCTAGACTTATTAGGGAAAGGGGAAAACAAAAATAAGACAAGAATCATGAAATCTTGTCGTTGAATCTCGCTTCATGCTTTGTGCTTATCATCACTCGGTCTTCTTGCTAGCAGGAGGAACGGGAAGCTTGTTATTATCAATCAAATGTTGGATGGCTTCCTTTAATTTCCGACAACTCTCGGTAGTATGACCCCTACTTTAATGGTACTTGCAATGGGCATTAGAATTCCAGTCAGGCGATCTATTTTTAGGAGATGGATCTTGAATAGGTCCAATGGGAGTGATGAGTCCCTTGACATGGAGAAGATCGAAGGCGGTGTCATAGCTCATCCCAATGGGGGTGAACTCCTTTCTTAGTTGCCTTCTTGGCCCTTGATTATCCATGGCTAAGACATCATTGAGATTAAAGGCGCTAACATTGTTACTAGAGTGGGTGTTTTCGGAAAAAGAAGGATTGTCGTTCTTTTTTCCTTTACATCCACTATTGTTACTATTGTAGCAGCTTTTGATTTCATAAGGTCATCCCTAATTTCAATGCCTATGTTTTAAACAGCTTTAAAAGTATTCAAGTTGCATTGATATTTCTAGTGTTTTAGGTATTTCTCTTAGAGATTCTTAATGAACATCTTCACAGACTCTTTTTCACTTGGAACTTCAATCATTCTAGCGGAAGTTTCCTTCCACCTATTGTAAAAAGTGGTGAAACCTTCATTCTCTTTTTGTTTTCACTTGGAACTTCAATCATTCTAGCGGAAGTTTCCTTCCACCTATTGTAAAAAGTGGTGAAACCTTCATTCTCTTTTTGTTTAAGAATTTCAAGTTCCCTATGATCGGTTTCTACTTGAATATTAAGTTTGTATCTATCAATGAAAGCATGTGTAACAGTCTCCCAAGTAGAGATATTCTCGGAGGCTATGGAAAAGAACCATTGCTGGCATACAAGCTCAAGAGAAAGTGGGAAGAGCGAGGGATAAACCTTCTTGTAAATCCCCTTGATCTCCATGATTGTCTCAAATTCCCTCAAGTGGAAGTAAGGGTTGTCAATAGCTTTGAATTTAGGGATGTCATTGGTAGAGAACATTTATGGAAGAAGATCCTTGTCCACTGAGACCCCTTTAGAGCTAATTCCAAAGTAATTGTAGTCATTGGAGATTTGACTCAAGCTATCTTCCATGAGCTTGATGGTTTTGACTGGCACTTGCTTGTCAAGATTGTTGCTTGAGTGGTGAGCCCTTTGAGCATCTCGGCGAGTCCATTTACAGTTTCTTCAAGTTTCTTAAAATCTTCTCGACTGACCATTATTACGAACTTTTCCTATGTCGGATCGGTTTATCAAAGAGTAGTACTTGAACAAAGGTGTTATCCTTGATTAGACGCCCCTCTCTCCTTGACCAAGTGCTGTCGAATTGAACCATTAAATTTTTTAATTGCTTGACTCAAACTCGATTCAACATGCATAGATGAAAAATATCATAGTGCATGAGAGGAATGATATGTATGGGTGAAGCATGTAAGAGGAAAGTATGTGAAGAGGGAAAGTGTAATGTATGGGAAGTATGTGGGAAGGTATGTGTGAATATGGAAGGATATAGGAATTTTTGGGAATAAGATGAACCTTCAACTCAAATGACGGAAATAAGACTCATGCATGGACCTAAGACATGGTCATGGTGAAAAGAATGAACAAAGTGTGTGCATTAACTCGTGAGTGAAAGTGACATGCTCAAGACTTGTGTAATGACCATGGGACTACATGATTAGACTCAAACAAGGACTAAGTTAAGACCTCAGTTTATTAATTAATCAATTAATCCAAAAAGTTTCGACTCAACGCGGAGACTCAAAAAGAAAAACCGAACCATCGCAAAGCGATGAAAATATCGCATCGCATTGGCTCTATCGGTCGCGATAAAGCCTGCGGCACAAAACAAAATTTCGCGTCAGAACTTGATGATTCTTTAAAAAGGGTAAGCGTACAGTGTTACTAAGTCAAGTATGTTATGACTTTATTGATCTAAATTAATTAATCAATTGATTAAGCAAAGTCCTTTTTAGTCATTGGTTAGTTGATTAAGACTTTATTTGAAAAAACAAGTCAACACAAAAGGTTAGCTTAATCACAAGTAGGAAATGCACAAGTAAGGAATGCACAAGTAGTCAAATAGTCACAGCATGATGCAATGAGTTAGCAACCTAACCATGGCTCTAATTCTCTAAAGTTCAAGGATTATGATAGTCAAAAGTGGGTCCATGGTTATGAGTCCGGATGCATCGCGTGGAAGCCTTACCTTTGGAAGGGTTGATGCGTATGGATGGGACCCCGCAAGTTAGACTTGCTTCCATGGTTTGGTGAATTCACAAACTCGGATGTACCCGTCGTTGCACGGAGCATTCTATTGGGTAGATGGAGCGTGAATTCCCAAGGGCTAAAACCACATGTAGAACACATATGGGTTCAAAAAAGAAGGAAAAACTCAATTAGAAAGTAAAATTGGCGAGATAGTACTAGAATTGGTCAAAACAAGAAGGCATATTTATGGCTCGATGTCGAAAGAACTCGACGCGAGAAAACAGAGTCTATCGCGTAGCGATAGCAAAATCGCATTGCGATATAGCTATCATATCGCGACAGACACTGTCATCTCGCGATAGTTCCTGCGCTTTGCGGCAATTTTCTATGTTCTTCAAATTTTCTGATTTTTGTAGTATCTTTTCGATTCTAGTTGTGAAAGATATTTCTGACTTTTCCTACGTGTAAAAATCCTATGTTTTTTACGCATTTCAGATGGTCTTTCCAATGCGGACCTTTTTATGCTTATGTCACAATGTTAATCAAAATTACGCACAATGAATATTTTGAATTTTTCAAGTCTCATCCACTCATTCTAAATTTAATTGCCAAAATAAATTTTAGGAATTAAAATTAGAGATCCTCCCTAGTGGAGTCGCCAAAAATTGTAGGGAATATTTCAAACATCAACTTTGAGCCCCACTGTGATCATGCGTTTAAGCATGGTAGCGTCTAATGGGTAAGAAGCTAGAGATAAAAGAGTCGCTAACAAGTTTTAGGAACTTGTAAACCTTTTACGATTGTGAAGGTTACACCCTATTCACGATCACGAAGATCGCTAACTTCATAGTGGTCCGGAACCATGACTGGATATTCGAGGATGATGGTACAAAACCAACCTATAGGAGATTGAACCCGCCCTAAGTTGGCCTTACTTAATTCTTATGAGATTCATGTGCGCTTTCCGATCAACATACATACATCAAATTAGCCCTAAACCTGTTTAATCTACGTTGGTTGATTATTAATGCACAAATTAATATATTATTTGCGATCACTTGAATTAAAAACATATTAAGCCTAATCAAATTATTAATTATCTTATTAGGCGTGTTTCAAGTACAAACTCCCTTTAAACCTGCACGAAAGGGCGTGATCAAGCAATACCAATAAATCATAAATAATCAAGCAATATATAATTAACTTAACAATCATCAACATAATCAATATAATCATAATATCATCAAAACATGATTAATAGCAAGATCCTAGGTATGATACCAAATGGATTAATAACAAATCCTAGCATGTCACTAAATAATAAAGATTAAAGCTTTATCCTAAACATGATACTAGACACATGATAATATTAATTAACACCCTAAACATGATAATAGGAAATCAAAATCAACATCCTAACATTATACTAGGAATCAATAGAATAATTAAGTAATCGAATTACCTACTTTGATGCCTCGTATCTGTTTCTATCAAAACAATACACACATTAGTAACTTTAAGAATGATTAATAAATCAAACCAAATAAATCAAATAAGAATTGAAATATCAACCTTTCATGTCGAGCGAAGGCAACTACGAGAATGGCTTGGAGTATTCAAAGCTCGTGAAGGGAGTATGGTTTATAATATCAAGATGGTGTTGGGATGTGTTTAGGCTAGGCTGAGAAAGAAAGAGAGAGAGAGATAAAAGCTTATAGCTTAGAGAGAGGGATTAGATACTGATTATTGGTGATCATGCTTGTTGATGATTGAAAACGGGGGAAAACGACCCCTATTAATAGATAAAAAAGATGGTCGAAGGGTAAAAAAAGAGCCAAAATTTAACTCTGACACTACTACATTTTTTACCAAATGTAACGGCCTAATAAAGGCTAATGTAACGGTATTTTAATTGTCGTTGCAATAGAGTAGGCTATTGCCACGGTATTTTAATTACCGTTGAAATAGAGTAAGCTATTACCACGGATTTAACACTAATATTCTTAGAGGTAGAGCTATTGCCACGGCTATAAATAACCGTTGCAATAGCCTAGCTATTTTAGCAAAAATGAGACCTATTGCAACGGTATGTGTTATATCATGAAAAAATTTAGAATGAAGCGCGCATTTCTTCCCTCTATTTTTTTCACCAAATTTTTGAAGTGTTTACTTCCCTCTATTCACAATGCATTCTCACAGTACCCATTCTCATTTCTCACAGTACCCATTTTATCATAGTACACGCTTTCTCCATTTTCCCCAATTCTCCATTTTCCCCAATTCTCATATTTGCTTCAATTCTCCATTTTCCCCAATTCTCATAGTTAATAAAGTGTGGGTAAATTAATTGAATGTAGGCTTCATAAATTGATACTTCATAGAATTATTCCCATGCAATTGCTTCTCCAATTTACACAAATGAACTTAATTTCAATTGGAAGGCAGGACATGGCGGGGGATGCTTAGGCTACGACGAACGGCGGTGCTCAGGCAACGACGAACGGCTTCGCTCATGCCTTGGTAAACGGGAATGCTCATCAGGCAAGAATGTAAGCCAGTTCCTTTAATTTGTATTCATCTTAATTATGTAATTAGGGTCCTAAATTTCCATTCGTCCCTCAATTTATGTAATTAGGGTTTTTAAATTTCTCACACCTTTGTTGATATGCCAGATTCAATCGAGGCGCAAATGATAGTGGAAAGTCTTGTTCCTCTGAAGAGGTATATGTAGCCACATTGAATTTTTTGTGTGTAGCCTTTTATGTTTATCTTGAATAATGTATGTTGCTTGAGAATGATTACTGTAATTGCTTTTCATGTCTGCTACATGTTTATATATATTTAAATTGTTAGCTGACTTAATCCTGGTGTATTGTTGATAACTAATTGTCATTGAGATTGGTTTCTAATTTAGCAATATTTAAGCAGACTAGATAGATCTCCACAATTTCAAATTATTCCTTGTTATGTCTATTTGTGTAACCATAGATTAGGTCCTAGGAGTTAAGATTGTAAAGTTATTATGTTATTATTGATTAATCTGCAGCACACCCAAAAAATTATTGTCAACTCTGATCCAATGGTTTGGTTTAGTAGGATAATAGGAAGTAGGAATTATTTGTGGATCTGAGTGTTAAGTGTTCATCTTCTTGAAGTTGGCCCTTCACAGCTGTCTACTCTAGGCTATATCCAGCTTTCTATTTTAAATTAGGCATCATTTAAAGTTTGCCGACATGTTGCTGATAAAAGTTTTTACTTTTCATGAATGAATGTTTTCGGATACATTAACCTGCACTATGGTAGTTTAATATAGGTTCTTGATATTAATAACAAACAGGAAATATGAGTTAAGGGACATTCTTAGCTAATTGGTGTAGACATATACATTGTTGATGTCTTAGAGGCCATGCTTGCTAGTTTCTATACAAGTTGCTCGACGGGTATGAGTTCAAGGATGGGTGGAAAGAGTATGTGCAGAGTTATGAGAGAAAAGGTTAGGTATGTTGGTGATGGTTTTGGATTTATGCATTAGCAATGAAGAAGATGTCCTAGTTGAATAAAAGTTTAAGTTTATTTTTGTTAGGGAACCGAGTATAAGGATTCAATTTATGATGCTACTCCTGCTTTTGAATCTTATGGAGTTTGTCATGGATCTGGTATGTTTTTTTCTCTTCATTTTTATGATTTTAATGTTTTTCTTGTAATTTAATATTGGTCTGATGATTTGAATATTGGGAGTGGTGGGGGGATAAACAAGACAATATCTACAATAATTAAAAGGAGTAAATGCTATTCTTTTTAATAAATTTCTAATGCCACTGCTTCTGCATGATTTACATCTGTTGAGACCTATAGCCCTTATAAAGTTATCAACAAGAGTTGTTCATTGGGATTTCATTTGGGCTAGCCAAAATTAGTTATACTTGTTATAGTGCAAATTAAAGCTGATGATGAAATTCATGTGCGCTTTCCGATCAACATACATACATCAAATTAGCCCTAAACCTGTTTAATCTACGTTGGTTGATTATTAATGCACAAATTAATATATTATTTGCGATCACTTGAATTAAAAACATATTAAGCCTAATCAAATTATTAATTATCTTATTAGGCGTGTTTCAAGTACAAACTCCCTTTAAACCTGCACGAAAGGGCGTGATCAAGCAATACCAATAAATCATAAATAATCAAGCAATATATAATTAACTTAACAATCATCAACATAATCAATATAATCATAATATCATCAAAACATGATTAATAGCAAGATCCTAGGTATGATACCAAATGGATTAATAACAAATCCTAGCATGTCACTAAATAATAAAGATTAAAGCTTTATCCTAAACATGATACTAGACACATGATAATATTAATTAACACCCTAAACATGATAATAGGAAATCAAAATCAACATCCTAACATTATACTAGGAATCAATAGAATAATTAAGTAATCGAATTACCTACTTTGATGCCTCGTATCTGTTTCTATCAAAACAATACACACATTAGTAACTTTAAGAATGATTAATAAATCAAACCAAATAAATCAAATAAGAATTGAAATATCAACCTTTCATGTCGAGCGAAGGCAACTACGAGAATGGCTTGGAGTATTCAAAGCTCGTGAAGGGAGTATGGTTTATAATATCAAGATGGTGTTGGGATGTGTTTAGGCTAGGCTGAGAAAGAAAGAGAGAGAGAGATAAAAGCTTATAGCTTAGAGAGAGGGATTAGATACTGATTATTGGTGATCATGCTTGTTGATGATTGAAAACGGGGGAAAACGACCCCTATTAATAGATAAAAAAGATGGTCGAAGGGTAAAAAAAGAGCCAAAATTTAACTCTGACACTACTACATTTTTTACCAAATGTAACGGCCTAATAAAGGCTAATGTAACGGTATTTTAATTGTCGTTGCAATAGAGTAGGCTATTGCCACGGTATTTTAATTACCGTTGAAATAGAGTAAGCTATTACCACGGATTTAACACTAATATTCTTAGAGGTAGAGCTATTGCCACGGCTATAAATAACCGTTGCAATAGCCTAGCTATTTTAGCAAAAATGAGACCTATTGCAACGGTATGTGTTATATCATGAAAAAATTTAGAATGAAGCGCGCATTTCTTCCCTCTATTTTTTTCACCAAATTTTTGAAGTGTTTACTTCCCTCTATTCACAATGCATTCTCACAGTACCCATTCTCATTTCTCACAGTACCCATTTTATCATAGTACACGCTTTCTCCATTTTCCCCAATTCTCCATTTTCCCCAATTCTCATATTTGCTTCAATTCTCCATTTTCCCCAATTCTCATAGTTAATAAAGTGTGGGTAAATTAATTGAATGTAGGCTTCATAAATTGATACTTCATAGAATTATTCCCATGCAATTGCTTCTCCAATTTACACAAATGAACTTAATTTCAATTGGAAGGCAGGACATGGCGGGGGATGCTTAGGCTACGACGAACGGCGGTGCTCAGGCAACGACGAACGGCTTCGCTCATGCCTTGGTAAACGGGAATGCTCATCAGGCAAGAATGTAAGCCAGTTCCTTTAATTTGTATTCATCTTAATTATGTAATTAGGGTCCTAAATTTCCATTCGTCCCTCAATTTATGTAATTAGGGTTTTTAAATTTCTCACACCTTTGTTGATATGCCAGATTCAATCGAGGCGCAAATTGTTGAGTCCCTTAGGTTTTGATTGATAGTTTTGAATGATGACAAACAGCTATGGGAAACAGGTTTTAATAAGTGTTGAAAACAGTTGGTTGGAACCAGCTATAATAGAATACTGTTTTCCTAGATAAGTTATTGATTATATGGGTTATCTATTGAACTAACTTATCTATATACAGGAAACAGTTATATGATAAATGTGCTATGTACTGGTGGGGAACCAGTGTGAACCGTTTCCTTGACTGCTATGCGGAAAAGCAGTCACATACTCTTTATTGTGCATTAACCATGTTACATGTGCAGTAGTTGAGTTGATTCCAAGACTTGGAGCATAGAAGCCTTTCGAAGATATTTCGAAGAAAGATTGTTTGCTCATAATAGAAGTATTCAAGGAAGATTCAAGTCTTGAAGATTACATGAAGAAAAGACGATTTATGCTTTAATATGTTATCTAGGTTTTCATGTAATATGCTCCGTAGTATGCTTGCATGTTTGGGTTATATAAGTGCTTAAAAGTATATTGAAGTATGATATGAAATCTGGTACAAAGTTGGAACAGGTTTCATAACATGTTTCAATTCAGGGAACCAGGTCGGGGAACCAGGTTCACTGTACGAAATATTCGAGCTGCCGTTTTGGAAAAAGATTTTACAAAAGATTTTTTCGAAAAGATTATTTTGAAAATATTTTGTGCAGCTGGAAATAAGATGAAATATTCTTGGTTACCTAAAAACTAGGAGTATTTATCTTAATTGATTCTATCTTTGTGATTAAATCAAATAAGATAAATACTTTCCTAAAATTACAATATATCTTATTCTCTAAGATTGTGTGATTTAAGGAAACTAGGTTTTAGGAATCTAAGCTTATATAAACTCATCTTATTTCACATATTTCGTGTGCCTCTCCAGAAATTAAAAGAGCAATTATTTGAGAGCATATACTTAAGCACTAATCCCATTCATCAAGTTATATACAAGAGCATTCTAGTACTTAAACTTTTTCTCTTAATTAGCTTCGTAGAAGTGAGATCAAAGGAGAGTTCTTGATTCTTGTATTGAGTCTTTAACAAAGGGGTTAAAGGCTGGGTGAGTGTTTGTGAGTTCAAACACATTGGGCTTACGAGTGTAAGTCGAGAGCACACTTGGAGTAGAGTGTGGGGTTTGCTGGTTCCCGGAGTAGGGAAACAGCAGAGTGTTCTTTGTCTTTGTTTTTCGGAGTAGATTAATAAAGAACTTAGGATAGGAGGACGTAGGCCTGAGTTGGCTGAACCTCGTTAAATTTGTTGTCTTCTTTATTGCTTATTTATATTCCGCTGCGTACGGGAACCAGCACAACTGGTTCCTCACACATAATCCGAAAAGAAGCAAAATTAGCCAACGATTACTTAACACTCAATTCACCCCCCCTCTTGAGTGCCCATTGAACCTTCAATTGGTATCAGAGCCTAAGCTTCTCGAAAGAGTAACATCTAGAGGAGTTAAGAATGAGTACTCAAGAATTAAGTGCAATCGGTTATGACAACAAGTCACCCAAGTTTAATGGAAATAATTATGCTTGGTGGAAGAACAGGATCCAGAATGTTATCATGGGTATTGATTATGAATGCTGGCTCGTAGTTAAAAATGGTCCAAATATCATTCTCAAGACAGATGTTGAGGGGAACCAGGTTCCCAAGAAAGATAGCGAATTGGTCACTGCTGATTACAAGTTGCTGGAGAAGAATGCTAAGGCAATGTCAATACTACAACAAGCAATAGGTGAGACCGAAACAAATCGTATATCTGGCTGCAGTAGTGCTAAGGAGATATGGGACACCCTTGAACTTGCGTTTGAGGGAACCAGTGAGGTAAAACGGTCTAAAATTGATTTAATCATGTCTAAATATGAATTGTTTGCCATGAATAAAAATGAAAAAATCAATGATTGCTTTCGTAGGTTTATGACTATTGTAAATGATCTTAGATCTCTTGGTAAAAATTTATCTGACGAGGATCTTGTGAGAAAATTATTGCGTAGTTTAACAGATGCATGGACAGCCAAGGTAACAACAGTATATGAAGCAAAGGATCTGTCTACCTTGTCTCTGGAACAGCTGATTGGTTCCCTTATGACTCATGAGATGCTGATTGACTCTAAGTCTGAGAAGGAACCAGCAAGAGGCATGGCGCTTAAGGGAACAGCAGAAGATGATGAAGATGAAATTAGCATGATTGCAAAAAGATTTGAGAGATCTCTTCGAGATCAAAGAAAGAATTTCAAAGGTAAGCATTTTAAAAACTATAAAAAATCTAACTCTAATTCTTCTTCTACAGGATGTTTCAAGTGTGGAGAAAAAGGACATCTTATTCGAGATTGTCCTAAGTGGAATGACAAACAGTCTAAGTCCGGAGATAAACAAGCATACAAGAATGCCATGATAGCTTCCATGTGGGGAGACTCTGACTCAGGGTCAGATGAAGAAGAAGGATCACCCAACTCAGATGTTTGCCTAACTGCCTTTACAAACATCAAGGAAAACAGCACTGGTCCAGGAACCAGAGGGGGAACCAGTACATTCAACAAATGCTTTATGGCAAAGAAGGATGTACTACATGAACGCAAGGTAAGCTTTGAGCAAATTAGAGAAGATATGCATGAATATGATAGAGAAAATATGCTTGCTTGTATTGATTCCTTACTAGATGAATGCTATAAACTAAGTGAAACATACATAACTTGCA